CCCTGCGGCGGCCCCTCCCCCTGGCCGAGAGCTTCCCCCCCGCCCCGCCTGCCTTCTCCACGCGCGGGGACTCCTATCGGGGTCGGTGGACGCCGCTGAGCTCGCCCCTCGGGAAAGGACGGCTCTCAGCGGGTACACAGATCTCCGAGTGAGGACGCCGAGTCCAGAGCGTTGCTGACTGACCCCTTCCTCGTCTTTCGGGATGTGCGAGGGTGGGCTAAGGCCGCAGACTCGAAGCGTGGGGTCTGTCCGGTGGGGATGCTCCTGGAGAGGGGGTGCAGGGACGCGGGGGCAAGTCCCAAGGTGCGTCCCCAGCCCACCTGGAGAGGCCCGCTTCTGGAGATGTCCGTTACTTTTGTACTGTAAAAAAATCTCAAATTTTCAGCAACTTGGAAACTTAAAACAAGAACACGTGGCTGGCATCTTCTGGAAATCCACAGCCGCGCATTCAAGAGGGGCCCCATCGCTGTTGGCCCCAGCGCCCTGGTCCTGCAGCCTCCTTGGGGTCCAATGGTCGGGGGCCCTGGGGACTCTGGGCCTCCCCTGCCAGCAGCCCCCTCAGCCCCCAGAATTTCACCCCTTGGCAAGACTGGGATCTGCAGGCTCCCTGGGCTGGTTCCTTTGGTATGCCGCCAGGTCTCCTGGAGCTGCCACCCAGCAGCAAGTGGGGCTGAGAAGCTGTATCCTGTGCTTGGACCTTGGGGCTGACACTAAGGATATTGGACAGAATCAGACTGGCTACCCGGTTGATGAGGAGATGGGAGAGGATGAAAATGGCACGTGGGAACTGCTTCTGTATCACCCTCTTCATGATCCTTTGTGCCTCATCAGAACATCAAACGTGTTCTCAAGGGGAGACAGAAGGCATGGACCAAGGGCATTTTCTAAGCCTTAGGAAGGCAGCAGTTTGGGATTTAAATTCTGTTGAGATTTAAATATAGCCTAGAATCATTTTTCCTTGTGTTAAATAATACTACTTCTTAGAAAGGGGTGGGGAGTGAGGGTTAAGGGAAATTGACTTAGAATTAGAACCCTTCTTGGGGAGGCTGTCCTGGTGGGCCAACGCTGCAGGGGTAGAGCCTAGAAGGAGGGCAGGGAGGAAATGGGATGTGTCTCCTGATGCCCCAAGGTGGCCTGACCAGGTATTTCCCAATCACCACACACACCCAGCGTGCAGGGTGCAGGGTTTGTTTGGGGGTCAGTTTGTTTTGAAAGGCTTTCAAGGAAATGAATAGTCCCAGAGTTTTCCTTAGTCCCCCAAGGCATTCTCTGGCCTTGTTCCGGGTTTATGCATCAAGAATTTGGAGGAAGATTTTTAGTTTCTTCCAGCGGGATAGGTTACAACTGCCTTTTCCATTTCTGAGGGTCCCAGCACCCTGAAAATCTGTCTGTAGGAGAACTAAACAAAAAGGAAGCAAACCAGGGCCCTGCTCACACTCACCAGGCATCCTTCATTTCTCCCAGAAACAAAGGTGGCATCAGGAAGTCAGGGTTCAGCACCCCCTCCCGCCCAGTTCCAGGCCCGGCCAGAGTCCGCCAAAAGGTTTTCTGAGTTTGCAAACACCTAGCTGGCTGTTTGGAAACATTTTGTCAGCACCAAATAAAAACTGCAACTCAGGCTGCCTTCCTGGAGATGGTCCCTGGATGCAGGTGCACTTGACCTTTGGCCCCCACCCTTCCTGAGCTTCCAGAATTCTGACAGCCCTGTGCCAACAATAGCCAACCCATCTTCCCTTCCCCAGCCCCTTGGGCTAGGAACTTGCTCTGCAGGAAAAGAAAGGAAGGCGGTCAGACCGAAAGGCAAACCTCAGAAGGGTTGTCTTCTCTCCTCAGTGCAATTCCTCCTGGCACTCTCTTAAAGAAGCCTGTGCTTCCCATCCTGATGGGCCTCTGCTTCCTGGTGTTCTTGGTTGGCATTTGTGTCCTCAGCACCTAGAGGCTATACTTCCAGAATCCTTGATTTCTACTCAGTTTCCTAGTCTTCCATGTCTTGTACACCTTATGAGGAAAAAAAAAAAAAACATAGCATGTGCTTCTGGAGATATAAGCAAATGACTGGAGGAATTTCTCACTTAACATAATGGAAGAAATACTTTCATCTCAAAGCCTGCAAGAACGGTACTCTGTTTTTATTATTATTTTGTATATTATTAAAGATTTGTGGGAAACAGCGAGTCTTCTTTTCCACTTGGAATTTCTTTTTTGCTGTTCTTGTTAATTTAGTTTTTATTTCTCTGCAATCCAACTAGATGTGGAAGGGAATAAGGAAAAAAGAATTGTAGCGAGAACACAAAGATTATAGGATATTGCGAGCAAATGGGATGGAGAGGTGCTCTCCTGAACTACAGAAGGAATGGTCTGGTAGTTTAAAATAAACAAGTCAAATTTATTGGAATTGTCCACAGTTGGCAATGGTGATCTTCTTGCTGGCTTTGCCATTCTTGTACCCAAAGCCTTCCTCCATGGCTTGCACAATATTCGTTCTCCCTTTCACCTTGCTAAAGACCACATACTTGCCATCTAACCATTCAGTTTTAGTAGTACAGATGAAAAACTGGGAACCGTTTGTGTTGGGTCCAGCATTTGCCATGGACAAGATGCCAGGACCTGTAGGCTTCTGGATGAATTTCTCATCCTCAAGTTTCTCCCCATAGATGCACTTGTCACCAGTGCCATTATGGCATGTGAAGTCACCACCCTGACACATAAACCCTGGAATAATTCTGTGAAAGCAGGAACCTTATATCTGAATCCTTTCTCTCTAGTGCTCTGTGGTCTTTGAAACTTTGTCTGCAAACAGTTCGAAACAGATGCAACCCAAGGGCTCACCTCGGACAGCCTTGTCAAAGAACTCAGTGGGGTTAACCATGGCTGATGGAAAAAGGGTCAAGGCAGCGGCGTATGCAAAGTGCTCCACTTGGAATTTCTTTTTTTTTTTTTTGAGTTGGAGTCTCACTCTGTCGCCCAGACTGGACTGCAGTGGCCACTCCCGGCCACTGCAGCTTTGACCTGCTGGGCTCTGACAATCCTTCCGCTCAGCCTTCTAAGTAGCTGGAACTACAGGCGCGCGCTACCACGCCTGGGTAATTTTTTGATTTATTGTAGAGATGAGGTCTCGCCAAGTTGCCCAGGCGGGTCTCGAACCCGCAATCCATTCACCTCAGCCTCCCAAGGCACGGGATTACAGGCTGAGCCACCGAGCCCGGCTGCCACTTGGAATTTCTTAAGCCTGCCTTACAACTGCAGTGTTTCTGGAGTTCATCTTACTGCTTTTAGAACTTGAGACTGGAAACACCCCCAACAGGAAATGGGTGCCTTTAATGGTCATAGTTCCAGCACCCCGGGGCCATGGGCATGGGGCACCCTGGCTGTGGGTATGTTACAAAACTCTTAAAATAAATCAATAAATGCAGACAGTGGAGCTTGACAGCAGCATTTATACAGATGGACAAGTGCCAGCTGGTACCCAGCACTGTCTCCAACTCTGCATCCGCCCTCTCTGTGAGTTAAGGGTTGGGGTGGTAGCACCCCTTTCAGGATGGCTTTTCCAAGTCACCAGGAAGAAGACAAAGTGCTTTTCCTTCTTAACCCTCCCCTCCTAGATGCCTAAGGCTCTTCTGTATCCTCTGGGCCTTGTTTCCTTTGGTTTTGCCCTTTAAAAATTTTTATTTTATCTTTTTTGAGTTGAAGTCTCACTCTGTCGCCCAGGCTGGAGTGCAGTGGCACACTCATGGCCACCGCAGCCGTGACCTCCTGGGCTTAGGAGAGCCTTCTGCTTTAGCCTTCCAAGTAGCTGAAACTACAGGAACACATCATCTCACCTGGCTAATTTTTGTGATTTATTGTAGAGACGAGGTCTTACCAAGTTGTCCAGGCTGGTCTCAAACTCCCAGGCTCAGGCAATCCTCTCACCTAGGCCTCCCAAAGTGTTGGGATTACAGGCTGAGTCTCCGCATCCGGCCTGTCCTGTTTTAAAAAAGGGCTTCAGTCTAGTCATTTCAGGAGCCTGAAAATAAGATCCACCACTGCAGTAGCATCCTCCTCGAGGCCTTGGTCTGCTTTGATTGTGTCTGGAGAGCTCAACAGATAGTCAGGGAGTCACAGCCCTAGCCTGGGAGGGGCATATGGGAAGAAAGACAAGCTTGAAACACTTGGGAATGGCCCAGTTGCCCATGGGTTGAGTCAGGAGCTCATGGGGAACAGGTGGACCCAGAGATTGTGCAGTGCCTGCTCTGGAGAGCACTGCCCCCTATACTGCTGCTCCCCTGGGAAGCATCCACCCCATGACCGCCTTGGGCGTGTGGGACTGGCCAGGTCAGTTGCCCCTGCCCATTTCGGACGGCATCGACTTTCATCATGTGGGTCCTTCTGTGGACTGCTTTAATGGACCATGAAGGTAGGCAGAGCAAGCCTGGCCCCTCATCTCCCAAGCCAAGCAGAAGTGGAGGGACCTAAGGCCAGGGAATGTTGGGACAAGGTGAGGAGGTTTGGGGAGCTTGAGGGTGGAGGGCCTGGAGAGGTAGCCTCAGGTTGGCAGAGCAGAACTGTTACAAACTGGACAGAAACTTGCCCATCTGTGGACCAGTAGGCCCTTCTAGTTCCAATGCTCTAGGGGTTCTAGT